AGGATAACAAAAAAAATTAGGGGATGAAAAATTAATTCAGATTGGGGGGAGAGAGTATGGAGGGGGGAACATATTCAGAATTTTTGGGGTGGACGGGCAGCGGGTGGGTAGAAAAATAGGGGGAATATAGAATTATGAGGGGAAAAAAAGTGAGTGGTGCACTAGGGGTCGTGGGGACAAAAAATTTGTCCTTGGGGGCAAAGAGGGGAATGTATAGAGATAGTTTTACCAACCTCTTATATGGGGGTGAAGCGTGGGTGATTTAATGTGAGCGGGAGAAGGTGGAGGGAGTGAGATGTCATGTCTGAGGCAATGTGTGGGGTGAAAATAAGCAGAGAATTCGTAGTTTGGAAATTTTGGAGGAGGTGGGGATTAACCCAAAACTGTTGTCCAGAGGGCTGAGGGAAGGGGTTTGAGGTGTTTGGGGCATGTAGAGAGAATGGAGCGAAACAGAATGACTTCAAAGTGATCAGTCGTAGTGGAAGGGGAAAGGGGGGGTAGGGTCGGCCTAGGAAAAGGTTGGAGGGGGGGGGTAAAGGGGGTTTTGTGTCAGGGGCTTGACTTCCAGCGGCATCGTGAGCGTGTTTTTAGAGTGAATGGAGAAAAGGGTTTTTTAAAACTTTACGTGAGTTGGAGTGTGACAAAGAACATTTATAAAGGGATTCAGGGAAACCGGCGGCCGGACTTTATCCTGGAGATGGGGAATCAGTGCCTGCACTCGAAGGGGGGGTGTTAATGTTGCAGTTTAAAAACGAGTGTAAACACCCTTTTGGCAAAAACAGTGATGGGGTGAATGATGGTGAAAAGTTTTTTTTTTTCGGGCCACCCTGCCTTGGTGGGAATCGGGCCAGTTGATAATAAAACAATAAATAAAAATATATAAAAATAACGTGGGGCCCCCTTAACGATATTTTTTCACTCCAGAAGTAGTTCAGGTGCCAGTACTGACCGAATTTGTTCCCATAAAAAATATTTTGAAGTAGATTTGCCATTTCAGACCCCCAAACATACACGTACAAAGCAAAAAAATAAACAAATTCCCATTAATTAATCTTAGCGGGGGTCCAGTAAAAATAAAATAAAATATAAAATTACGAAATTTTTTAAAATTTTAAAAATTTATAAAAAACCAAAAAAATTTTTTAAAATAATTTCCCCCCAGGGAAATTTTTAACCGCCCCGGGGAAAAAAAAAAAAAAAAATCCGAAAATAATTTTTTAAAAAAAAAAAATTTTAAATAAAAATTTTAAAAAATAAAATTTTAAAAAAAAGTTTATTTGGGGGATAGGCCTTCAGTTTTGGGTCCCTTGGGTTTCCCCAAAAGTTTTAAAAGGGCCCCGGGACCAAACCTTTTGGGTCCCCTTCCAAACTTTTCAACCCTGGAACATTTTTATATTATCCCCTTTTAGGAAAGCCCCCCAAAAAGTACAGGGCCCCAGAAATTTTGCCAACCCCCCACCAAAAAGGGGGAGAATTACTATGGAGATGAAGAAAGAGATCATTGCTAAGTATGAAAGTGGAGTGAGTGTCTCTGAGCTGTCAGGTTGTATAATAAACCCCAATCAACCATCGCTACTATTGTGGGTAAGAAAACGGCAATCAAGGAAGCTGTTCTTGCCAAAGGTGCAGCTGCTGCTGCACCACAGTCAGCTGTTGTTGTTGCTGCACCCACCATCAGCTGTATTACTCGAAGATGTGGAGAGAGTGTTGTTGGTGTGGCTTAACGTGAAACAATTACCGAGAAACGATTAACCCGGAGGGTTAGCCACCCAGGATAACCAAGAAAGTCAGTGCATCATCGAGGACTGTCTAACTTATTTCCATTGGGGTCCTTAATTTTGTCCCCCAGGATGCGATCCACAACAGTTGACTAACACCCAGGTGAACAGGAAAAAATGCCTGGAACTAGTGCTCATATTGGTGAGTTAGTGGGGAGGATGTGGAAGAGTTGGTGGAGGAGGACAATGAAGAACAAACCACTGATGAGCTGCTAGATCATCTTCAACAGTAAGAGGCCACACCTGAGGAAACTGCTTCGGAGGAGGGGAGAGAGAAATTGAAGAAGTTGCCTACTTCAAAGATTAAGGAAATGTGTGCAATGTGGCTTAAAGTGCAAATCTTCATGGATGAAAATCACCCTCACACATCTATTGCAAGCCGTGCTGGTGACTATTACACTGACAATGTTGTGAAACACTTTAGGATGAAGGAACGAGAGGTACAGGCCTCTATGGACAGATATGTTGTGCGACAGAAGTCCAGTGACTCTGAAGCTGGTCCTAGCGGCATTAAAAGAACAAGGGAAGTAACCCCAGAAAAAAGACTTGCTACCTCAAGTGCTAATGGAAGGGGATTCCCCTTCTAAACACTACAAGATCAACGGTCTCCCCTCCTCCCATCCCATCAATCATCACCAGATCTTCAATAAAGGTAAGTGTCATGTAACTGTGCATGTCTTCTTCAGTTTGTGTGTATTAAAATTAATATTTCATGTGGTAAAAATTTTTTTTTTCAATACTTTGGGGTGTCTTGCACGGATTAATTTGATTTCCATTATTTCTTATGGGGAAAATTAACTTGACTAACGATTATTTCGATTAACGATGAGCTCTCAGGAACGGATTAATATCGCTGTTTGAGGGTCCACTGTATACACACACACACACACACACACACACACACACACACATACATATACATATACATATACATACACATACACACCTACCATCCGACTTACGACCTGCTTGACTTACGACCACTAGACTTATGACTGTGTTTTTTATGCCAAATTTCTGGGAAATAAACAACTATTTGTGTTGTACACAGTGTTTATCCTAAACCTTACAGTATAAAATACAGTACTAACAGCATAAAAAGTAAAGTAAAACATGAAATACCAATTGTAATAAAGTTGGTAGAATTACCGACAATGTGTAATGGCTTGATAAAGCTCCTGGAGAGCGAAACGTTGCCACAATAAATGTCACATTAGTTGCACTTGTGTCCTTTTACTTTACATGAAATACCAAAATAAAACAATAAAATAAAGTCATTACAAAAATGTTTTGTTGATATTCAGTAGTAAAGTTCGACTTACGACCATTTTGACTTACGACCGGTTTCTCGGAACCGAACTCGGTCGTAAGTCGGATGGTAGGTGTATATATAATATTAATATTATTAGCACACTGGCCTATGTATGTATGTATGTATGTATTATATATATATATATATATATTATATATATATATATATATATATATATAAAAATATATATATATATATATATATATATGTATGTGTGTGTGTGTGTGTGTGTGTATATGTTGTGCCGAATAGGTAAATTTTTCAATTAGCAAGAACTCATTTAAAATTAAGTCCTTTCTAAAAAAAAATTCTTATACGTTTAAAGATATATTTTTTCATTTATGTTAATGTAAAAATTAATAATTTTGTACGAAAAGAACCTTAGAAAACTTACCTAGCCTTATTATAACAAGCGCAATTTAATTTAGCCTAATCAACTAAATATATTTTAGATAAGTTTACAATGATTTGATAATAAACAAACACAATGAAATATATGTTTTTCGTTAGTTTCAGAATGATTTTTGCGAAATTATTGGATACTCAAATTTTTGCTTGCCTTATTTGGCAAAAATAGCATTGCTATATAAGCCAAAATTACAAGGTTTACCTATTTGGCATGACATATATATAACAGTCCTAGAGAGACCCTGAAAGAACATGAACATTATAGTGAACTTAAACAAGGGAACTAGTAAAAATAGATAACACATGATCAACAACACTGGACTATGGTACAGTGGAAATTTTCACATTTACCATGTGTGGCAGGTGTGTGGGCAGGGCAGTAACATAGGCAAGGGCCACACAAGACAATGGTTGGAGCAACACTGGCTTCCTGGCGATCTGGGGTTGCTTAACGATGTACTGGCTTGTTTCTAACCCAAAACTCTGGCAGATACAAGGCAACACAGGCTGGCTTTAGTTGGGTTAATTGCTAGGTAAGGTAACAAATATCATATTACTAAAGTACACACATCCAAGAATCCAGAAACAATGCTCCAACACTTGTAAATATGTGCACCCTGGATATAAGGCAGCTATCAGCTAATTACTAAGCACCAGGGAAGCAGTAACCAGCCAGTGCGAGCGGATAAACACGGCGTGGTTCACAACATCCTGAGAAGTGACTCACGAAATCGTAATGACATGATCGCAAGCAAACCACGGAACGGGTGGGTCTTGAACCCATGGCGAGTGAATCCTAAAACTGACAGTCCAATGCACTTGCCATGGGTGGTAGTCTCCTCACTAATTCCCATAAAAATATCAGATTGGGCTATCGCTGGCTAACAATTGTTATGCCATCCTGTGGGCGTATTTTTAATGCTTGGTTATGATTATAATAATAATGAGGGCATATCGTAGTTTTACCCAGATATCGGTGTAAAGGGATATACAACCTCAGTTCTGCCGAGGTAGAATGGTAGAAGGAAGCTGGAGCCATACACACCCAGGTCAGACTAGTGTCTCATGTGAATTGCCTAGGCCGCAGGCCTGGGTAATGTCTTAGGCAACATCTTGGGTTTGTGTCAACCTACTGCACATGAACCATAGGTGTCCTAGGGAGTGGTATATCTGTTACACATAGCATACCATCACAAAGGCCTCACAAAGATACTACACAGGCATTACAAATGTACCCTGAGCAACATTACTTGCAATTCAAAAACTAAAATGCATGGATACTTATCCTAGACGATGGAAGATGTATAAGTTACCTGACACCTGCGGCTTTTGTGGAAGTATTAGTAAACAGAGATACCTAAGCAATAGCTGACTATTGCTTGCATTTTTATAGGGACCCCAAAGGAAATAAGCCACTTCCTAGTTTTCCTGGGTTATTCTGAGTTATCAGTCCTCAAGGAGTTAATTATTGGGGAAAAATCTCATGATTGTTTTGTTTGTAGAATGCTGTGCTGAGCGGGCTGCCATACCTGGGTATGTGGATCTTCAGCTTAGTGGTGAGTGTGACGGGGGACACACTACGCCAGAAGGGCATCCTCTCCACCCAGACTCTCAGGAAGGTCGCCAACACCATTGGTAAGACTTATGTGTGTCTCTCCTCAGAACTTTAGCCCTTTCACACTCAGTGGTGTTCTTCCTCACATTTCTCCAGCCGGTTCACACCGAGCATACCATATATCTATCTATCTATCTATCTATCTATCTATCTATCTATCTCTCTCTCTCTCTCTCTCTCTCTCTCTCTCCTCTCTCTCTCTCTCTCTCTCTCTCCTCTCTCTCTCTCTCCTCTCTCCTCTCTCCTCCTCTTCTCTCTCTCTCTCTCTCTCTCTCTATTATACTCTCTCTCTCTATACTATATATATATATATATATATCTCAACAACACACACACACACACACACACACACACACACACACACACACACACACAACGCATGGGTCCGTGGGTGCAGACGTGGGCACACAAGGCTCCGAGAATCCTAGTGTTTTTAAGGCTGCAGTGACTGCTAACAGTAATCAGTGGTAGTGACGTCGTCAGTGAGCAATAATACGAGTGATAGCTAAAGTTATTAGTTAGAAAAAGTCGTGAGAAAGCCTGAAATTATCCATTATCCAAAATTATCCAAACGTTTTGGTCTACTAGGCAGCGGTAGGCCTGAAGCAGTGACGTCACGACAAGTTGTGTGCCATTATACATATAAAGTGAAGTGTATATAATGTGAATTGTATAATATCATAAGTGAAAAGTGAAATAGTGTGAGGAACGAGGGATGTATGAGCACATGTGGTTATAATCATCACGGATGAAGGATCTCCAAAATAGAGATTTAGGCTAACTACGCCGACTACGACTTCAGGCATCTGCAACTTGGCATGACCGTTGCCACGCAAGTATCACCTATATTGTGGTTTGCATGTCGCAGGCTTGGCTTGGCTTGCCTTACATCGCTGTTAGATACTGGTCCACTCACCCTGCAAGCTAATAACAGTATTTATAGTAGTAAGAATACTTAGGAAGCTAGGAGTCCTCTCCTAAAACGTTGAACAAGAATAGGAATAATAACAGCAATAATTGAAACTAAATCCAGAAAGGGACAATAACGAAGAGTGTAAAGCATTTCTAGGAAAGACAGAACAAGAGGTATAACGGATCATACCCCCCTAACCATCCTTCCCTCACACACCACCCAGGGCAGTCACTTATTGAAGCTTTAGACCCTAGTAAAGCAATTATCGCTTTTTTTTATAACCCAGAATTACTGTATATTAACAGTATCTCCCTCGATACCTCCCCCCGACACACACAACACATATAACACACACACACACACACATATACACACACACACACACTCACACACACACTGTAAGTACTGCCGATCAAGTCCCCAGGAGTTTGGGGGTCTAGTCACAAGAAGTTGTGGTCCGAAAGGACCACTGAACTACACTACAACCCACAAAGCCCACCTACTTTCAGTACGATAATAATAACCCACACAATAATTCCACACAAGATTACACACACACACACATATCCAGACTCACACATACACTCCCCCCCCCACACCACCGACAACTCCACTTCTTCCCTGAATCCCCTCCCCTCCTCGTTTCACCCTCCCCATCCCCCGTTCACCCAGACCCTCCCGAACCCCCTCCCCACTCATCTCCCACATACCCACACTTCCTCGCACTACCTCCCTCCCACACTCTGAACATACACACTACTAACCTAACATACAGAACTACCTAGGTTTCCCACTCAGAGGCAATCAGAAAAAACAAAACTGGGTTGTCACAGAGCAACAAGAAAAACCAAGGCCAGGAGAGGAAGCAGGCAAAGGAGATTGGGCAGCAGCAGAGCTCATAAAAAGAGATCATGAATGGAAAAGAAGACTACAAGAACTTAGCATAGAATGGAAAGAAGATAGATATGGAATGCATGAATGGGAGCAGCATATCAAAGCAGCAGAGGCTAGGATAACAGAGTTTTAGAAGAGGAAACTGAAAAATCTTAAACATAGCCTAAAGAACTAAAGAACATTTTGGGATTGACAACAGGACAGCTACCTCAGCCACAAATAAGGGACTGTAGGGAAAGAAGGCACAACTGCATGGGATGCTCTAATCAGAGGAGACTGTAGTAAATGAAAGAGCTAAGCTTTAGTGCAGGGCCCTAACAAACAACAACAGAGCCCAAGGAAAGCCGAGAAGGGAAAATTGTCAGGCCACTGAGCCCAAGTAACATTACCAGTGAAACGAAGAAAGGAAAAGCTGCAGTGCAGGAAACCCAATTAAATGAGGGGATACACAGGGATAAATAGCAGTGGGAGAATGAAAGGGTGAGGCCATCTTTGTGTAATGATGGGCTCAGAAGGCTGAAGGGAAACATATTGAAGCAAGAAAACAAGGGAAACAAAAGCAATTGAAAGCATCATGAAAGCATAGGATAAGACTACATGACCCATGCTGGAAATTTTTCGAGAATAAGGGGGTGGTTTTGTAATAAAAGAACCCGGCTAGTGAAAGTAACCTTCAAGGCAGAAGCGAGCTCGGACCAGGATCCTGCAGGATAAAGCACGATTAAAGGGACAGCCGGCATACAGGAAGGTGTACTCGACCGCGACAATCACAAAGAAAAAGGCAGAAACTGAGAGTGAGTTACAAAGGCGAAAGGAGAAGAGAGGGGATGAGAAAGACAGACAGGAGATCCCAACCCAGGAAGAAGATCAAATACAGCCTCCCTCACAAACTTCCCTATAGAAGCCTCCCACCCAGTCAAACCCAGTGCAACCAAACACTCTAAATCAAAACAACCCATGCCACACATCCAATGCCCCCACCCACCCATTACTAACTCACCTCTACAAGCAACAACCCATAGTTCCTTTACCATGTCTCCCACTATCCCCAACCCCAATATACCCTCACAGACCACAGTCTTAGAAAAGAAGTTGAAGGTGTGGTACTACAAATGCAGATGGAATAACAAACAAGTATGAGGAGTGCAACAAAGAATCAAAAGATATCCTCAGACATAATAAGCACTCACAGAAACAAAACTCACCAGAAAAATAAAAACAGATTCAATCTTCCATCCGGATACCAAATCCTCGGAAAGACAGATGGAAGGAATGGGGAGGAGGAGTTGCACTGTTCATTAAAAACCAGTGGGATTTTGAGAAAATGGAAGAATGGATGGCATGGGCGAAAGGGACTACTTAGTAGGAACACTCCAGTCTGAGGACATAAGGTGATAATTGCAGTAATGTACAACCCACCACAAACAGCCAGGAGGCCAAGAGAGAATATGATGAGAGCACAGAGCATGATCGACACACTAGCCAGGTGTCCAGGCGAATCACACATGGGAGGAGCAAAGTTACTAGTTTATGGGTGATTTCAATCACAAGGAGATTGACTTGGAAAACCTGGAGCCCCATGGGGGTCCCGAAACATGAGAGCACGATGATGGATGTGGTACTGGAAAACCTCATGCGTCAACAAGTTTAGAGACCTACCATAGAGAAGAGGAAGATGAACTAGCAAGCCTGGACCCTTGTAATCACCATGAGTAGTTTCGGACATCGAGGGTATCATGTAGAAAGGCCTCTGGGAGCTAGTGATCATGTGGTTTCTGTGCTATACTACATAGTAGAGCTCCAAGTGGTGAGAGTAGCAGGAATAGGCTGGGAAAAACCAACTACAAAAGGGGGAATACTTAGGCATAGGAACTTCCTTCAAGACATTCAGTGGGAGAGGGAACTGACTGAAACCCAGTACAAGAAATGATGGACTATGTATCAACAAAATGCAAGAGGCAGAGGAGAAGTTTTTCCCAAGGGAAACAAAATACTGGGAAGAACGAACGAGTCCTTGGTTCGCACCCAAAGGTGTATGGGAGGCAAAACTAGGTGTAGTAGAGGAATGGAAAAGGTACAGAAAACAGAGAACACAGAAAATAAGAAAATCAGCCGAAGAGCCAAGAAACTAAATGCACAGATAATAAGGGAGGTCCTCAAGACGATATGGAAAATGACATAGCATCAAAATAAAAGACAGCCCCGAAGCGGTTGTACAGCCACATCAGAGGAAAACAACAGTCAAGGACCAGGTAATCAGACTGAGGAAGGGGTGATGGGAATTCACAAGAAACGACCAAGAGTATGTCCGGAGCTCAACACAAGATTAAATAGGTATTTAGAGAGAGGGCAGTGGAAACCCAGTAGGATCCAGGAAAACAGAACAGGGGGCACACCACAAGTATCTGGATGAGGTACATCTAACCAAGAAGGAGGTGGTAAGAAGCTGCATGCGAACTTGACACCTCAAAGGCGGTGGGACCGACAACAATCCTCCATGGGTCCTTTAAAGAGGAGCAGAGATATTGGTGTGAGCCATTAACAAGATCTTCAACACATCACATGGAAACTGGGCCAAAAACTCCCTGAGGTAATGGAAAAAGGCAATTAGTCCACATTTTTTAAAAAGGGAGACAGACACGAGGCATCTAAACTACAGACCTGTATCACTAACGTGTATAGTATCAAGGACATAAGAACATAAGAACATAAGAATGTAGGAACACTGCAGAAGGCTACTGGCCCATAACGAGGCCAGGTCCTTATCAAAACGACATCTACTAAAGCTACTCCGAAAGAAGAGCAACTCCCCGCACCCCCCAACACCCAATCAAACCCAGCCCCTCCCACTCCATATATTTTCCAGTCTCTCTTAAAGCTACCCAAGGTCTGAGCCTCTATCACCCCACTGACTGATGAAGCCACTGTGATGGCGAAACGTTTCCATCAATAAAGAAACCTCCAATAGTTGCACAAGTGTTCCTAATCTATCACATGTCGGTTTCTGAACATTCATCTACAAATATTAAGACTGAAAGTAAAAAGGACACCACGTGCAACTAATGTGACAATTATTGTGGCAACGTTTACGCTCTCCAGGAGCTTTATCAAGTCAAGGACAAGATCATCATGAGGAGATTGTGGGGCACCTGGAAAGAAACAAGTGTTATAATTGACCACCAGCAGGTATCAGGGAAGGAAAATCCTGTGTCA